TATATACACACACACATACACTGTGTGACCCTAGGTTGAGAGGATGTGGTTTGCATGTTAATTTGTGTGTTGTTCTCTTGTTGAATGGTGAGGCGTTAGGGTGGGAGGATATGCAAGGAAGATAAACTCTTCCAGAACATGGCTGCGTAGCCCGAAAAACCCACTAAAATCTATGGATGCTGGCCATGAAAGCCTTCGACTTCACAATAATAATGTTTATAACGAAGGGGATGTGGTGGCTCAGTGGTTAAGATGCCAATTCTGACAATCTGATCCGAAGGTTGGCGGTTCGAGGCCCGGGTGCTGCATGATGGAGTGAGCTCCTGCCACTAGTACCAGCTTCTGCCAACCTAGCAGTTTGAAAGCATGAAAATGCAAGTATATAAATAGGTATCACTTTGGTGGGAAAGTAACAGCATTCAGTGCAGTCATGCTGGCCACATGATCACAGAGTAGTCTCTGACAATGCTGGGTCTTTGGCTTAGTCACGGAGATGAACGCCATCCCCTACAGTCGGTTACGGCTAGACATTCATGTCAAGGGACTACTTTTACCTTTTATTTATAATGCCCTTTCCACCAAAGAGCAGTTCATCAGAACATATACCAGGGATAGGCAACCTTTCCCCTTTAAGGGCCGAGGGACTTCAGCTCCCAGAAGCCTCAGCCATGTTGGCCAATAGTCCCATGTTGGCCAATAGCTCCTGGGATTCTGGGAGCTGAAGTCCCTCGGCCCTTAAAGGGGAAAGGTTGCCTACCCCTGACATATACAATAAAAAAGGTAACAGTAGTCCATTGACATGAATGTCTAGTCGTAACCGACTGTGCTCATCTCCGTTTCTAAGCCGAAGAGCCAATGTTGTCCAAGGATGAATCCGCTGGTCATGTGGCCAGCATGACTGCACCAAATGCTGTTTACCTTCCCATTGAGAAGTGGTACCTATTTATCTACTTGCTTTTGCATGCTTTCGAACTGCTAGGTTGGCAGAAGCTGGGAATAGTGACAGGAACCCACACCATCATGCGGCTCTTGGGCTTCGAACGATCATTAGAATTGGCATCTTAACTACTAAGCTACCACATCCCTTATACAATAAAAACAAACAATAAAACACTGCACTATAAAATGCTAAAATAAAATACTTATATGTAAAAAACAAAAACAAACTATCTTCCTCAATCACTGCCCATCATGGCCACCTTAGGCATGCTAAGCAACTTAATCCGGTGAATTGAAAAGGAAGGTCTTCAACCCTTTACGAAGGTGGATCAGATCACTGTGTTGTGAGGGAGGCCCTTTATTGCCTCTGGGTTGAGGGGAGACAGCCACTTTGAGGTGTTTCCTCGTGCAACAAGTGTTTGTTTGTTTGTGAGAAAGAGGCTGAGAGAGTGCTCTAGTGGCAGTTGGTGGCTGTTTTGTAGCTCAGCCTTTCCTGCCCTTTGACCTTGCCTGAGTTACATCTCCTCAGCAGGCTACCTATTTGTCAAATTTGTCTTCCGCTCAGGCGTAAAAAATACAAGTGAGAGAAGCAAATCACATTCGTACACTCTCAGCCTCAGAGGATGGCAATGGCAAACTCCTGAAGAAACTTGCCAAGGAAACTTCATGCTAGGGGTCATCTTAATGTTGTCCTAAGTCAAAAACAACTTGGAGGCACAGAACAACAACAAACTGAAAGGGTTCGAATCCTGGTTCAGCCATGTAAACCCACTGGGTGAGCTTGGGCAAGACACACTCTCTCAGCCTCAGAGGATGACAATGGCAAGCCCCCTCTGAAGAAACTTGCCAAGAAAACCCAATGATAGGGTGGCCATAAGTCAGAAAAGCAACAACAAAGATAAGCCACAACGAAGAAGAGGTGGTCCAGAAAGAGTTTTAAAAAGATGGTCCAAAAGGACATTATAGTCAGTGGCATCAAAAGCCACAGGGAGATCAAGAGAGCTGTGGTATTTTTTTTAATAATGGGGGGTTGCAGACTGCCAAAAATAGTGCAAATTGAATCCACTTTTAGGGTTAGGGTTAGTGCTAGAGAATCATGGGAATTGTTTTTTTCCTGAGACATTGAGCCTTCTCTGTCAGAGAGTTCTGGTGCCACAATAAAATACAGTTCCCATGATTCCCTAACCCTAACCCTAAAAGTGGACTCAATTTGCACTATTTCTGGCAGTCTGCAACCCCCCAATGTGTCAGAGCAACCAAGTCAGTTCAATCCCAGATGGGATTGAGAGTGAAATGGATCCAAATAACATCTTCCAAGAATTTTTACAGTTTCCCACAGACGTATCTTATCTAGTACCTCCATACCTAGCTGCTGAAAGCCAAGAGGTGACTTTCTGCAAGGGGTTGTGCTATTGCCTCTTTCAGGGATGGGCAGCACACCCTGGACCCATGCAGTCATAACTTCTCAACCAGGATGTAGATATGTTCTTACTGCTACAAACTTGCCCACATCATCAGACCAAAGCAATGGAAATTGATCCCACAGTGTCTAGATTTTTTGTGGCATCTCTGAAGATGCCAGCCACAGATGCTGGCGAAACGTCAGAAAGAAACTCTTCTAGAACATGGCCACACAGCCCGAAAAACCCACAAAAAACTATGGATGCCGGCCATGAAAGCCTATGACTTCACAGTGTCTAGATTGTTTTGGAGTGAAGTAACTTTGTCCACAAAGTGACAAAGGAGTCAGAAAGGGCACTAGAGGACCATCCACCGGTACTATCCTCAGTGTCGGCATCAGCAACCTGTCTGTGGACCACTTAGGTTCAAACACACTGCAGAAAAAATCCAGTTTGAGACTGTTTTAACTGCCCTGGCTTGGTGCTAGAGAATCCTGGGAACCGTAGTATATTGTGGAACCAGAGCTCTCTGACAGAGAAGGCTATATGTCTTACAAAACTGTTCCAGCATTCCCTAGCATTGAGCAAGGGCAGTTAAACTGGTCTCAAACTGGATTATTTCTGCAGTGTGCTTTGGACCTTAGAAAGTTCCATTGGATGCCAACATGAGATAGCAAAATAAGCCCTTTTTCGCTGTTTA